GCTTTTTTTTCCAGTCTTTTTTTTCCCCAGTTTTTTTCCAGAACTGCCTCCACTTATTGAGAAACATTTATCATCAAGACATGAAAACAGATGCGCTGCGCTCAGTCCAGCTTTGTGGATCAGTGTGGTGATAGATGCATGAATCCTGTGTTCAGGCTGCGAATGCTACAGAGGAAGGTGATGGAGCTGCTGTCACACAGCCTCGTGTCATTCTGCCATGAGGTTCTGCCAGCAGGCTCACAAATGGAGCCCACTCAGCCCCACACAGGAACCAGGCTGAAGGAAGTCACTGACGTGCAACTGCATTGAGACAAATCTGCTGCAACAGGAGACAGAGCGGAATGAGAGCACAGAACTGGGTTTGGAAACTTGAGTGGAAGCTGTCGTGCTGCTCTGGGACAGCAAAAAGCTCCTTTGTTCAAATCTCTTCTTTAAAAACCAGCTTATTCGTGCTGCCTCTAGGATGGCACGTACAGCCCTACCCAAAAACTCAGCGTTAGGGAGGCTCAAAGCTGCACCAGACAAGTCAGTCTGCAGGGTAATTACAGTGAGCATCCCAATTGGCTTGCACCAGCACTTCTAATGCAATCATTGCCCAACTTTCCCTGCTCCAGAAACAAAGAAGCCAATGATATTTAACAGCATTTGGGAAACTGGTGACACAATGCTGCTCGAGCTCTTTCAGTTAATCACAGCGTGGAAACATTTTAACCTAGATTCCTCACTCCTGCCTTGCATTATATCTTCCACTTCAATAGACAAAGCACTGCAGCCTTCTATTACTACTGCACAGCAAGCATGCAGCCAAACTGCACCTTTTTCAGTGCTTCTAGCCAAACAGCCCAAACCAGGCTGATGGTTAGTGTGGATTTGCTTTTCATAGCAGATCTATTTGGCTTTTTCCAGAACTGCTACAAAGCAAAGAAAATTATTCATTACCAAGCTCTGCTTCAGCTAAAATCTGTATTAAAATTAAGAAAATAAAGCAACAAGAACAGAGCATTCTGCTTTGACATGAAGACAAAATAAGTTCAATTTAGAGGCGAGTGGAGCAATTAAGAAAGTCCTTACTGGGCCCAACTACAGCAGAGCTCAGCAGTTCTGAGGCACCAGGCATGGAGGCTGAGCACGGCTCCCTCCTGCTGTGCCCAGCCTCCCTGGGAAGGAGGAAGGAATTGGTGAATTAGCTGTTTCTCTTATGGTCTCTCTCTTTGCTCTGTGTGATGGAAATGCAGAGAACAGCTGGAGCAGCCGCTCCCAAGCATCTGTGCATCCCCCTGCAATGGGAGGTGAAGGTGGGGTGGAAGGGGTGGCCATGGCAGCACTCTGGGTCTGAGCCAACGCTGGAGATGCTCCAAAACCCCCCAGTGACACGAGCAGCACAACACAGAGCATAGATGGTCCACAGGGCAGAGCAGGATGTAACAAAGAACGGGAAACTACAGCCAGGTAGAATGCTGGGAGCATCTCTCACAAAATACTTTAAGGAAGATCCCTGTAATGTGCCTCAGCATCTCATTACGCTGACTTCTTGCACACAGCAGTGCTGAGCACTTGTGAACAACATCAGTAGGAAGAGGGAGAAATGGTGAAGAAGTTACTCCCTCTGTTAAGAGTTCAACTGTGCTACCTGTGCTACCAACAAAGTTTGAAGGCGGTTTCCTGGTGATTATTCTCTACTGTGGCTGTTTCTGCCCCCAAAAAACACAGGAAATTTGATATAGCTTGGTAGAAAAATGAAATGCAATAGTAGCAATAGAGACATTTAATACCTCAGAGTGCTTCACATGGATGAAGTCCCTCGAGTCACTCAAGACCAGGCTGGATGTGGCTCTGGTCTGGTGGATGGCGACCCTGCACACAGCAGGGGGTTTGAAACTAGATGATCATTGTGGTCCTTTTCAACCCAGGCCATTCTATGGTTCTATGAAAGTCCCCCACGACCACTGATTTACCCCCAACATCTCCACCAGCCAGGTATGTATTATTTATAGCACAATGACACAACTGCTGCAAATCCCCCTATTCCTACTGCTCGCTTCTCCCGTTCCTCTTCTGCATGCAGAATGCAAACACCCTGCTGTGATTTGCTCACTCTCCTCCCACCATGCCACCCACCCTCACTGTGTTCACACAGCACAGCTCTGTGCACAGCCCCTCAGCTCACCCCATACCCCAGGAAGCTGCACACCTCCTTCCTGGCTGGGCTGAAGGCCTGCAGGGCAGCGCTCACCACAAACAGAGCCAGCTGGTGACGAAATCAGCCCGTGCCATCTGCACCAGCACAGCCACCAGCAGCGCTCCTCTTGGAAATGGGCAAATGCCTGATTTTTGAGCTAAGCAGCAAGGCAGTAATCACAGCAACCCCACAACGGCAGAACCAAGCTCCAGCAAGAGCTGATGAGCACAGTTTCCTTCCCCATTCCCTGACAACTCAGCACTAACAGGGCAAACATTCTCACTTGCATACACACGCAGCACTGCAAATTTAATCAAACGCATTACTCCCTTCTTTGCTGACTTTGGGCACAGCTCATCAATAACTGCAGAACTTCTCAGGGCGCACATCGAGCCCACAGGACTCCATCCACTGAGGCAGCACTTTTCAGAGCAGTTTATAAACTGCTCAGCTACGTCTATTCATCAAAACTCTTGTTTCCTTTAGATGGAAAACATTACAAGAAAAAGAATGACTTGTTTACTTCCTTGCCAAAAGCATACAGACACATTTACTGCACTGCACAGTCCCAAGGAAACCAATATTGGAAAAATCAACTAGAGATGCTGTGAGATTTGATGTTTCTTTAAGCAGCTGCCTTGCCAAAAGAGCCGAGGTATGAAGTGAAAAATAGTAGCAGGACATCAGTACACAACAAGAACTGCCTTCCTGCCTCTTTTTAATTAACAGGTGTTAAAATCTTTATTACAATTTTTATGAAAGTTTCCAGCACTGTTGCTTCTCTCTCCACAGGTAGGAAAACCAACCCACAAACCATGGGTACAGAACTCAGATTGCAAGGTGAAACACTCTTTATGTCTCTCACCCCCCCAGGAAGGAACGCTGAGACAAACCCACCTCCCTGCTAAACCCAGAGCTATGGGAGGAACCAGCAGCACAGTGCCCGTGCCAGCAGCACTGACACAGCAGCAGCACCAGCCTGGGGAAGGGAATCCAAATGGATGCCCAATGCCCACAGCTTAATGGAGAGCAGTTTGTGTGCTACACCAAGGGCCCAGAGTGCTTCTGCTGCTCTCATTCCCTCGCTGCTTAATGTACATTGGATCCTTTTACTCATCAGACTTTTGTACTCACTGATTATTATTTTTTTACTTCCCCTCTTATTATCTACATACGGAGAAGGCAGACTTCTCCTTCCTTCTCAGTCCTTCCAGAAAGGATGATGCTTGATATGGGGCTGAAAAGTCAAAAGGCAGATTTAGGCACAAAGCAGAGATCCAACATGTGTCCCGAGGCTCACGCAAAGAAGAGCTTTTGGCACTTCTGACCCCCATACTACTTGAGATCAGACATTAAGCAGGGTCACAACCAAGTGTGTACTCCACTACTCAACAGGAATACATCACTGCTGTGGCACTGTCACCACTCTGCAGCTCACAATAATACCTTGCACACTGTGTGTTCCCATCTCCATTTCCAAGCTCTTTTCCCAAGTTTCACAACTTCACCAAAAATACATCTGAACTCTCACTGCTGCCCCTTCATGACAATCTACATGCAGTGCCTATTTCTACCACTTAGCCAAGCACCATCATTCACTGCACTGCAAACACCTCAAAACACACACAGCCTTCACTCACTCCCTCTGCCAGCACGTATATCTAAGCTTACAGAGCCTCAATTCAGGAGTTCCGTGCATCTTGCAGGCTTTGATTTCCTGCCAAAGCTGCCTTCTCCTTCTACTCCAGACTTCTTCACACTCCTTTGAGTTATCTCTGCTGTGCAGAACTGCTCCATGATTAGTTTGAGCTCCGTTTCCTAAACATCCCCAACTCGTATTAAACTGTTTTCTGTTTTTCTTTTAGCCTTGATTGATACCTTCATATCATCACCTAGAAGATGGCTGAAATGTTTCTGAAATTGCTTATTTTTCACGTGTTCTTATCCTTGAAGCACACAGAGAGCTTGGTATGTTTGAAGAGATCAAAGCAATGGACGCCTCACAGAGCTCCGGTTTCAGTGCCTGAAAACATCTTTCAGGTAATGTTTGCAGAACTTCAAGCTTTCCTCTCTTCAAAACAGAGCACTCAGAGGATCCTCAGCTTTTCAGAAGTGGACTTTACAACTCCAGAAATATCTCATTTGCAGCTTTATCTAAACTACTTAATGAAGTATTCACTCCAAAAAAATAATTCAAAATAGAAATCCCAACATCGGGAAGGAACCCAGTTTACCTTAAGGAATCAATGTCAGATAATTTAAGCATGACGTTCCAGGTGATGTTCAACCCCAAAATATGAAGCCTCCTTTTTTGTGTGTGTGTGTGGAAACTTTACACGCTCTGATCATTCACACCTAGTGACAGATTCAACCCAAAGAAAGGCTGAGGTCGTTCCTTCTTTTAAATGAAAGCCTGCCCTCTGGTGTGAGGCTGCAGCTTAGCATGACTATAGCCAAGAACAGACAGAAACATCAGTGCTACTTCTTGACTATGCATCCCAGAGGTCCACAGAACACCAGCAGTGCTCTGCTACTGCTGTGTGGGGAATGCACACATAAAACCTCTCCCAATCTCATGTGCTCTGCAGCAAGAATCAAAAGGCAGCACCTCATTTTCCTCGTCCAATGAAGTGCAGACAACTCACAGATACTGGGGAGTTAGTCTCTTCCATTGCCTTCTGCACACATTTGTTAGAGGTAAAGAAAAATCACAAAGTTCTCACCCACACTTGGAATTCGGAATGTTGTAGCCCCCAGAAAAATTTGCAACCTTCACCATAAGGAAATGTGCAAGTTATCCAGAAATAAAAGTAACACCTACTTCCGAAGGTGCTCGTGTTCCTTCAGGAACAGCTCTGTTCTTCTGTTATTCACGCCAGACCCACTTTTATACGATCTAAATGCAAAAAACAAACATGAGAAACATTTTCTGCAGAGGCTTTTTGTAGACATTGCTGGTTCCTGTACACGCCGTGCTGTGTTGCTCTGAAATGACCAACCAGAAAAGCTTCGGTCACGCTCAAACATTTTTTAAGTCATCTCTGCTTCACAGTTTTACTTCTACAAACACGATCTCATTTTCACAGTTAAAATTAGCAAACAAAACCATCAAATACTTCTATCAGAAGCTCATGAAGAGTTGTGAACTCAAGCAACCACTCTCATTTTGCTCAGAGTGCAGAGGATTAACCCGAGGCAAGCACACTCCTACAGGAGGTGCTGCCTTCCCCCTCCTGGCACACTCCCACAGCACTGCTGCAATACACAATGCAACTTACTCAATATCTTTTCGTACTGATCCCAACAGATTCTCCCTTTCTCTTATTGCCAGGAAATTCGCTTTGGTTTTGTGGAATTCGTGAGTGTAATCCTGCAATAAAACAATCACTCCAAAGTTAGAGCCCTGAGATCAAGTTTCCAAAGCAAGACACACAAATCTTGCCATCTCTGTCAACGTTAGCCCTCAGCAAAGACCACCTTATTAAATTCACATCACGTTCCAAGCACACGTGAGGCTGTTGAAATCCTGACCTCATTTGGAGAAGTTTGTTTGTAAGAATGTTTTCAGACCCTGTGCCTGCAGCACATGTGAGGGGAGATGTTTTTCAATCAATCAGATTTGTTGTTTCTTTCATACTCTCACAGAGCCTCCTCCCAGCCAACAGAAATGTGGAGTGTGTCTGAGCAAGCTGCTAATAACACTAATAACTACTCCAAAGAAATGAAACACAAGAGGAACACGTGCTTGTTACCTGCAGGATGTCTCTATGACGCTGCAATGTGTGCATCAGTGCAGCATTCAGGGATGGGACTCCTGCACTGTTTGTATATTCTGCCATTTTGTCATTTATTCCAGTAAGCTGCAGGGGAAAAACAAACAAACCAACACAAAAACCTGAAACTGTTTATTACTGTAGGAAATGTACAGTGTATAACATGAAAGAGCTTTCCCTTATATCAGATGCACACCATCAGAAGCACTTCTTTACCACCCCTGCTATTACTTTCTAAACACTCATCATAGGAACCTGTACTGTGATGCTTCAAAATGCTGATTTAAAAACCAGTGGTTTGTGTATTACCTTTCCCAGAAGCTGTTCAATCTCCACAGCCATGGTCTCAAACATTCTGTCCTGGCTCGACCCATTTAAGAGAGGAGTGGTGTCAGAGCTAAGGAAAAAGAAGGCAAGCTATTAAAACATACAACAACCTTGGGGAAAACAGCACCTCCCCTTGGAAGATACACCAAAGAAATGACACCAAACAAATGATTACCTCCACAACCAGAGCAAGATCAGAACATCTTGTGTGGGATGGCAAAACTAAGTAAGATAATTAGAACAAACAGCAAGTTATATATCCCAGAGCTAAGAGAGAGAGAATCTGACTCGAGAGCAACATGATTATTCCTGAGTTGCTCTCAGGTTTCCAGAACAGAAATTCAGTGAAAGATTCAAAAAAATCATTTCACCCTCCAGAAACTTTATACCCAACCCACCATGGTAAAAACCAAGAAACACTCTTAAAATCCAAAGGAATGGGCAATGAATTTGGTAATGAAAGCAACTTTTAGTCAAAAGACAAAAAGCACACAAGGCTGTAGGATACACAGGTTTGTACATATGAAGACATAACCTAAGAAGGATAGAAAGTAAATAGTGATTTGAAAAAGAATTGAAATCAACACACATACAAGCAGTAATCACTCTGATAACCAAGATGCAACGTGGGGATCCAGGATTAGCAGGCAAAGAATGGCACTTTTTAAAGGTTGCACGTGGGGACAAAGAAGCTGATAGCCAGGTGCTGTGGAACTGCAGAAAGGCCTCAGATAGAGTCCTTAAGCTAGAAAGAGTTGGTGAGTTTTATCATATTAATCCTCAGTCAAATACAAATCTGCCTAAATAAACAATTTCTTCAAACAAACTCTGTTATGTATACACACAAACATTGTACATACAGCTCTCCCTGTCCCAGTCCCTACTATGACTTACCTTAAAGGAAATCAGAAATAACAGCCATCCCTGGGGAAGGGACTGCCACAGACTGACTGCTTCACTTCCCCACTTTGTTGGTGCCCTCCCTGGGCTGGTCACTGCAGCCCCGTGCCACAATTCCCTCATCCCTGCACAGGACCACCAGCACCACGGCCACCCACCGGCGAGGTGTGAGGCTGAGCTGCCCGAGCACAAAGCATTTACTGAAGTCCCTGAGAACTGTAATGCAGGGAGAAGTGGGAAACAATGCAGGCAGCTGTACTGTGCACTAAGGAAGCCGCATCCTTCCCTCACACACTTCCCCCACAATTGAGTGGCAGCCTCGTTCACAGCAGGAAGGCTGGAACTCGATCTTTAAGGACCCTTCTGACCCAAGCTGTGCTGATCCCATGAATTACAAACTGAAGTTTAAATACAGCTTCTCCCATTGCCCTGCGTGCTCTCACAGGCGGAACACAAACACACACCTGTCCATCTGGCACCTGAAAGAGAAATTTCCCAGAGCCCAACTCCAGCACCACAAAGTAAGCTTCTTAAGCAACTGTGCATCAACACAGGTGGTACTGGGGACCAGCATTAAACCACTGACACGAACCAAATGCTGCAAAGAACAAAGTAAAACGTAAAGAAACGTGTTAGTACCTATACCTGTCGCGCCGCCCGTCCCGGCTGCTGGTGCACAGCTTGCTGAAGGAGACCAGCTTCAGGTCCAGCTCGTTCTCCAGCTGCCTCGCCTGCTTCCTGAGATCTGCACGGAAGGGGTTGCGGGGGGGAGTCACACACAGCCCCAGACCGCCCGGGGAGCCCCGCGGAGCCCTCACACAGAGGCGGCCACGAGGGACGGATGAGGAGGACGGGGGCTGAGGGCCCGCAGGCCGCGCCCCACACGGCCCGAGGCCTCCCCGCCGCGGGGCTCAGCCGGGCACCGGCGCCTCACGGCTGAACGGCCGACAAGAACACCGCACCCTCCGGCTGCGAGCGAGCAGAGGAGACCTGGCGGAGGCCTCGGCCTGCCCGCTCCGTGTGCCGGGAGCGCCCCGCGCCGCCCCGGCCCCACTCGCCTTCCCAGTAGTTGCTGCTCCCCGCCGCCATCTTTGTTGTCCAACGTCAGCCGCCGCCTGCCGAGAACTCCTGCCTAGAGCGCCTCCCTCCGAGCGCGGTGCCCGACGGGACGGCCGGACCTCCCAACGTAGCGCCCCCCAGCGAACGGGAGGCGCGGAGCACCGCACGCCCCCGTCCCTGCGACGTCGAGAGGGCGAAGAACGAGAGAAGGCGGGCGGACATCAAAATAGTTTTATACAGGTTATTGGTATACAGGTAAAAAACGACCCGAGGGCCCAGCGCGGGGCAGCACCGGCCCTTGCCTCCCCGGGAAGGGCGCTTCGAGCCCTAGTGGAAACGTGCAGCGAAGGCACAGTGCGCGTGGGGCAGACGCTTCCACGGACAGACGGACGGATGGACAGAAAGATGGATGGGCTCCTCGGCACGCTGAGCACCACTGCGGCACAGAGAAGTCTCACACGGCTACAAAACCATCGGCCCTATCAGCCCCGCTCACCTCCCGTGTGTCGATTCCCAAGGACTTATTGCTGGGGACAGCTCTGCCCACGCGGCGCTCCAGGAGCTGCTTAAGTCACAGTCCAGCACCAAACCCAGCATGGAGCTGGGACCCCGCATGGGCTTTGCAGGGCAGAGGCACCGAGGGGCTCATTCACGCCACAGCGATGCAGGACAGCAGTGTGGACGATCACCTCCCTGTTTGCAGAGCACTGCTCCAGCCGGATCTTACCCCGTGCTTCTTGCCCTATACCAACACCACAGATGAGGGAAGAAGGTCTGCAGCCACCCAAGGGTCACCTTCAACCTTCCAGGCAGCTGCCGAGACCTTCAGCACAGCCACAGCTCCATAGCTCTGGAGAGGCATCTACCACCCGTGGGGTTCCTTGCAAGAGAGGGACCAGCAGCCTGGGACAGGGAATTTACTGCGCTGTTCCTCCAGAGCCCTCATCACACATTTGGGTGCAAACACTCCAGCACTGCCCCATGCAGATCTCAGGAGCAGATCTCCTTGGCCTGCTGGAGGCAGATCAGCTCAGGATATGTGGGATATCCAAGGCAGTGAGTGCTCCAGGCACTGTAGAGTTCAGTCCGTTGGGAAAAAGAAATAAACAAAAAAGAATGAGCAGCAAGGAAATAAGTGCCTAATTCTAACCCCAGACTTCTGCCCAGAAAGCACGAGAACTTCAGAAATATATGAAGGCTTTGGAAATCAAATGTCTTGGGCATCCTGCCCTTCTGGGCACCCTTCATTGCCCCACAAATTCAACGCAGCTGAAAGATGCACATTGCAGCTCCTCTTTCCAATTACTTCAGTGCTCCAGAAGAGAATTTGGCTGCTTTTCCCTCCAGCACAGCCACTCAGCCCTTCCTCACACCTTGCACTCAGGCCTCCACAGCACGCTGCAGACATACAAGCAGGTGGAGCTCTTGCTACGTACTTCAGGGACACTGTAGTAGCAGAACTAAGTTAGGCCAGCAGGCTAATGTGGTGCCTAGCATCACCAGAGCTTGATGAGAGTTTTCTAAGTGCTCTGATCACTAAATGGTATTAAATGCACAACAGCAAAGGGTGCAACTGCTCTTCAAAAGTCAAGACCAAAGTCAGGCCATGGATACCCTTTCTCTCTGCTACTCCAATAATGCTCAGAACAACCTCCAGTCGTGCTTTCAGACACTGCACTGCTGAAACACCAACTTGTGCAAAAGCCAAGCCCACATAAATGAGATGCAACCAAGTATGATGGGGACATAATTTTCTTCCCCAGAACCAGGAACAGCAGTTCTGCAGAGCTGACAAGCTGCTGAACTTGGTCAGAATTCGCAGAAGCTCTGACATCTGCTCCTTTCTCCAGTTCACACCAAGAATTGATGTCATCTCCTCCAGCCTTCAGGATGCCATATCACCACTTGGAACTAGCAACACATTAGAGGTGCTCCACAACCACTGCAGTGTGGCTGAGCACAGCATCTCAAGGTAGGGAAAAGCTCCAAGGGAGCAGCTGAGAAGCAAGTACAGGCTGTTTCCAAAGGCTGCTCTGCAGAACGTGGAGCTGGTGATGGATCAAGGCTTCCACCACACACAGTAAGAAAAATGAAATCAAAACAGGTAGATACCACTTCAGAGTGTCGTGACTACGACCCTACACAGGTCTTGGAACACTTCCCCACCATCTGCTCACAGTGCTGAGATGCTGGGGAAGTGTTAGGAACTCTGCTGGCCAACCTGCTTAATCACCTTCCAGTCAGCGTCATGTGAACCTCCAGACCTTGCCCTAAAAACATAAGCCATGCCCTTAACCCAAACACAGCCTCTAACACCCACTGATTTGCATGTACATAGGAACAGAGCAAACAGCAGAAGGAAGTCAGGAGCTGCCACCCAAACACAGTCCTGCAAATTAATGTCTCAAAACTGATCCAGAGGGATCACCCCTCCCTCCCGCTGGGGCTAGTCCATGGAAGCTTCCTTTCCTCTCAGGGAGGTGTCAGTGTTTGCTGGAGTACAATGTTTCTTCTTCAGTGTCTGTTTCATCCTGGAATTCGTGGCTCAAGAGGGATTTCTTGGAGCCGGTGGACATCATGCGGATTTCATCCTCGTAATCGTCGTGGTGCTGCCGCAGGCGGTGGAAGCCATCCTTGTGTCTGTTGGACTTAATTGAGCAGACACACCAGATGATACAGGCAGTGAGGATCAGAGCTGACATACTTGCACCTGCCAGAGAGAAGACACTGAATTTAATTCTATATTCCTCACCTCAGAGGCTTCTACATTCTCCAGTATCAATCCTCCCTCACACAATCACAGCTGCTTTCCTCACTTCTGTGCCCCAGGAGGAAGGAGCTCAGTCACAGTACAGAAGCACTACATTTTCTGGGCTAGCAATTTAAGATAACATCAGTGAGCTCCTCTGCAGTACACTGGGAACTAACCCCAGCTTCCCCAGCAGCAGCCACAATGACAGAAATATAAAACATATAAATTCCTTAGTGCTTGCCCAGTGCCAGACCATGCAAAGAGGCCTAGGGAAAATGTAAGATCTGCTAGGTCCCAGCCCTATGCACATACAGGTTCTCCCCCTTCTAGCCATCTCAAGGTCCATTCAGGACCCTTCAGATCCCTGCAACATTCTCCACTTCCTCTGTTTTTATCTGCTAGCCCAGCATCACTAGAACCAAAGGCTTTTGGACCAGTCTGCAGGGCCAAGCATGTGTTCAGAAGGGAAAACAGGAGGAGGAAACTCAATGCTGCAGGCTACTCTTCCAGAATCCAGTTTAAAAAAATAAAAATAAAAAAAATAAGGGTTACTGTCAGCATGAACCAGCCCAGAAAACGAGGCTCAAAGCTTTGAATGAAGCTATCACTTTACCTGCAACTGTTACAACCAGCTCCCTTGGCAGACCAAATATCTTGTTTTCCATGTCAAATACAATGAACACAGAGCTGGGTGCATCATGACGTACCAAGACCTATGGAAAGATACAAGGACTCAGTCTGTCTCAGTGTTTACACATCTGGTAGGTATCTAAAGAAAAAAGACATCTGCTGCCCAGGGCAGAACCAGGCAGATACTAAAGATAAATGCAGTGTAGGGAAAAACTGTTGCCCAGAAAAACTCTGCCTTGTTCAGAAATTCTTCTCCATTACCACAAGGCAGAAGACAACTACTGTAGCCAGAAGGTAAACACAGCCAACAAGATACAGCCCAGGTAAGAGCAGTTAGGGATGGATGCCTTCATATGAAAGCAAGGGAGAGCTCCAATAGATGTTCACATACCTGCATATGCTTCTGTTGGTACCCGTCAGCTATAGCATTGATGTTATGCAAACCAGGAGCCAACAGCACATGGAAATAGCCACCTTCTTTAGTACAAACCCTCAAACCTTCATTAAGAACAATGACAGCTTTAGAAATTGCCTTGCCACTCTTGTCTTGGACAAATCCATGGACTCCCTTGTGAACCTGAAACAAAACAAAGCATTTCAAATGCCTCATGTTCCAGTCCACGTGTAAGGCATATTTTGAACTAAAACAGGATCTAGCCTCCCCTTAAAATATAGCATGCTCTTCAGCAACCTTAATCATCACCCCACCGTGATATTCCCCTTCTCCCTTCAGAAATAAGATTATATAATACTGCAAGGGCTGCTCAGCCCACTAGAAAGAAAGGCACCCATCCCAACACCTTCACTCCCAACAAGGATTTCTGCCCCCAGACCACTGCTCACCTCCACAAGCATGCTAAGGAGAGACCTCCTGTGTTCTGCCCACAGGCCAGGGAGCTGCCCTGCACTGGGGAAGTAGCAGCAGCTGGTATAAACAGTGATCTCAGGACAGTGACCAAATGTAACGCTGAAATCCTGAAAGAAAACCACCACAGTTACAAGAGACAGCATTTAAAAGGTTTCCCAGAGTGCAGCTGAAGATGGTTGAGGTTTTGCCCAAATTTAAAGACATATCTGCAAGGAAGGAAAGCGTTGTGATGAGATGAAGTACCTTCATACTTCCCAGGTGGCTGTGCCATTCAGAGCCACGGATCACACCCCCAGGAATATTCTCATCTGTGAGAGTAAGAACACAGCAATCAGACTGATCTGCTCCTAGCAGAACCCAGCACAAGTGGTCAGGGGTTCAAAGGATTGAACCAAACCTACCGGACTTATTTGGACATCCTGGCTGGCCTAAATGCATCGACGGATGGTTGTTTGCATATACAGATGCCAAATGCTTCAGTGTTTCTTTGTTCTCCACTACAAACAGGAAGGTGAGACATTAGGAATGCAGGTCCTATTGAGTGGGGGAAGATATTCCTATTCTAACCCCATGATCCGATATAAAACAGTCACACGTGTTGCTTCAGGGGGATTTCAGATTTCTTCTTACATCTAGGGGTGGTATCACACACAGAGGAAAAACTGAAATACTGTTCTGAAAACAGAAACAGTAAATGTTCTGACTCCAAGCTGAATCCTGTCAGGGTGCTGAGCTTTGCTTTACAGACTGCCAGCAGTTCTCCAGAGCCAAGGGGTTAAAGCCAAAAGGAGGCTACAGCACACCATCAGCACAAAAAAAGGA